CACATCCTATAACTCAATATACAAAGTAAAAAGGATGTAAACCAGATAATAAACAACTACCAACATCCACGGACACATGTCCGGATCACTGTACAACAAGGGTAAACCCGGGATCGCTATATTTATAGTCACTCTTTATAAAAAAATGTGATCTTTTGCCATTTACGATCGTACTTATTTAAAAATTGAGATGTATGTTTTAGAAATGGCTAGTTGTATAGAAAAATTGAGATCTTTTGCCATTTACAATCGTACTTTTGAAAAATTGAGATGTATGTTTTAGAAATGATCAATTATGTAGAAAAATTGAGACTTTTTGCCATTTACAATTACAATTTTTGAAAAACTGAGTAGTATGTTTTATATATGACCACAATTTTATAGAAAACACTGAGAACTCAATAAGAATGTTAATCATACTTTAAAATTTTAATTTGTGTTTTTAGTTTACTATCATGGTTAGAAAGTGTGATGGAAAGTAAGGATAAACCATCACACTTGCATAGATCACGCTTTTTGTAATGTGAAAAATTGAGATTGATAACTACTATTATGGTTAAAAGTTGAGATCGTTTAGTTTTTTTGTAGTAGGTACTTACTCTCCAACAATCTGTTTAGCTTTTTTGTAGTAGGTAGGCTAACTCACCAACAACCAATTTAGAAGAAATTTGACTCAATTGAACCATAAAAATTGCAACTGATGTAAAGTTTTAAACTGCTATGCAAGGACAAGCCAAATAAAACGCAATTAAAAACTTCCACAGAAGCAAACTAACATGGTTGAAAATATTCAAAACATTGCGCACAGTGGCAGATCTAGAGGATCTAGCAATTCAAAATAGAGGGCACATATTACTCACAACATTGAAAAAAAAGAAAAACCCACAATAAGCAACAAGATAATATTAAATTTATCTATATATATTGGAAGGGTCAGTTGTTGAGATTCAATATTACAATTATCATGAAAATTACATCAACATAACTTCTAAATGTACAATCACATAAGTTATAAATGTACAATCAACAACGTCATTGAATTTACGATTAACAAATCCAATACAATCAATTAAACAAACCCGCAAACCCCATTGTAACGGCCCAATTTCTATAGATCCGATTAACATTAAAAATTCACTTTAATTCCTCTATTAGATATTCATTCAATTCATACATGCGGAAGCTGACATAATATTCAATATTATCTGATATTCATAATGAAAATAAATCTTCTTTTTGTATTCTTCATTTCATCAAGTAAGATGTACAAAATAAATCACATGCATTACAAATTCATAACTCTTAAGCCTGAATCTATAGCAAGTGATACTATTACAGAACAATTAATTTCATGTCTCAAATTAAAAATAGCCCCAAGGGCTTACATCTTTCAAGGAATATAACCTTGTTATAAAAAGAGGGGTTTGATTAAAATTTTTCTGATTTAGTTAAAACAATTTCTCTGGTTTAAAATTGTTGTGCTAAAATTTCTCTGGTTTGGTTAAAACAATTTTTTCTGGTTTAAAATTGTGAACAAACATAGAGAAATTTATGAACAAAGCCATAGAAATTATCTGTGAACAGAGCTAGAGAAATTTCAATTTTCTCTAGTTTGAACCCAGAGAAATTCTTTGGGAAGTCCAAAATTTCTCTGAAGAAGTCCAGATAAATTCCCAAAATTTCTTTGGAGAGAATTTCTCTAGGATCGAAATTTCTCTAGATAGATGTTGAGGGACCTTAGACATTATGAAAATATTGGATGTCTTTTATGCTATAAAATCTTAATACCAGGTACCCTAAAAAAAATCCCTTTGAATATATTATTTATTAAATATGTATATGTTAATTCAAATTAAATATTTTGAATCCCTTTTTATTCTCAAGGAGCTGAATGAGAAGAAACTCCCACATCTGGTTTTGTAGAAGAGATGGAATTTAGAAAAAACCATCAATTATAACCCCAAAAGAACTAGATTCTGTAAACATCATAGAGGAAGAATGAAGGACATATCTTATTGAAGTAATCGTATTTGTTTCGGAAAATATGCTCTTCAAGCACTTGAACCCGCTTGGATCACATCTAGACAAATAGAAGTAGGGCGTCGAACAATGACACGAAATGCAGATAAATTAAGGAGTAAAATTGAAAACAAATTGTCATTCAAAACGAATAACACGACTTCTCATCAAACTATTTTACAAAGGGTGGATCTCTCACCAATTAAAAATATACACTAAACCTAATGTCTTATATTTTCCTTAGATTGGATTAATTACCAATTTACTATTTTATTTATTTATTTATTATTCATTTGGAATGGTCTTCAATAAAAAAATAATTTCCTAGAGTTCAATAGGAAAAATATGCACCATGTAATTATCTACACGGCAATTAAACTTCAGGAAAAATGTAACCACACCACAGAACCCAATTGTAGTTTCCCTCCTCCGATGAATATCACCCGTTGGGAATCTCTCTAATGCATTTTATTTGAAAGGCCAAATTTTATTTTGATCCATATGCGGATTACACTTTTCTAATTTGAAAATAATCATATAGTCCTTTTGTAATTTATAAACAGAAATACACTATTAGGTCAATTAAAAATTTAATAAAAAAGACAAAAATATTCTTATATACGAATATTTTTGTTATTTGCTTCGGAAGCAAAATACACTTTAACCCCTTATCCTTTATTCCATATGCTCCTTAAATTTTGAAAATGAGTATATAATTTCTTTATATTTGGCATATGTTTCACATTTACTGTTTTTTAATGGTTCATTTTAGTTCATAAATCATAAATGGTTTTGTGGTTATTTTCAAATGAGATGAGTAATTTGTACATAGACAAAAAGATAAGAGAATAAAGTGAAATTTATCATATTTAAAAATAGTTATAGTTGTATATTATTCTATAATTTCTATAGTGCAATTATGTGCAAGGTAATTAATTATTTTTTTCTCTCATGCATTTTTTTTTTCTCAATTAAATTTAGATATGACAAAGTAGAAAGCTGAACCTCACCGTCCATCCGTAATAGAAAGCTTGGAGTAGAAAACCAAGGAGAACAACAATTTAAACTCCATGAAAAACTAGAGTTGAGAAGCTTCCATGCTTGACCTAGGATTGATCTATCAATGAAATGCAAGATAAAATCAAGCACATATGAAAAATCCAAAAATGAAGATTTAAAACTTAATAGCAAGTACATCCCTTCTCTAGTCTCTCTCCACCATTGCCACCACATCTCCCCTCCTAAACCACCCTCGTTGCTGCCTTCTCTCCCCTAAACCAACCCCGCCTCGAGGAGATGGAAGGTCAAACAAATTTGCAATTTCGACTTTTTCTTGTTGACTTTAATGAAGTTAATATTGCAATTTCACTCTAGTTTATAGGGAAAGTCTCTACTTATATTTGAATAATAAAAGGGTAAACTGTTCAAGCCTTTAACTATTAGGGGTGGACATCGGCTCATCGGTTTGCCCAACCCGCTCGGCTCAGCCCTATTTTTCTAGGGCTTAAGAAGGTTGTTTTAACCCATGAGGCCATGCTGTATCGACATTTTCAGCCCGAAATATCAATGGGTTAGGCTTGAGATTAATTAATTATTTATTTATAATACATTAATATATATATATATATATATATTTGTTAGGATCTAGACTTTATTTTTGTTGATTTTATTGAAACTCACATTTATGGTGATGTGTGATTGAATTTATTTAAAAAATCCTTCAATTTATAATGATGTCAGTATATTTATTTAAGAAATATAATGTGTGATTGAATTTGCTTATGAAATGATTTAACTTTTTTTTTTAACATATAGCCCGATGGGTGAGTTCAGGATTTATAATTATTTTTTGGACCGGGTTCGGACAGATCATAAAGGTCCAATGTTAGAACTGGGCCGGACTTGAACAAATACAAAATCTCTTTTATGTAGTGCCATTCTAGCCTAAAACCAGCCCGGCCCAATGTTTGTCTACCCTTATTAACCACAAGGGAATAAAATTAATTTTATCCTAATTTTTATGTTTACCATACTAAATTTCAATAATAATAAAATATAGGGTTAATTACACTTTTCACCCTAATAGTTTGATTCAAATTTCACTTTAGTTCCTATAGTTTGCAAGCTTCACTTTACCCCCTGTAGTTTGGGTTATGTGTGGTTTACCTCTAACATTTGGAAATGACCACATAACTCTTACGTGGTTTGTGGACTGAAGTGCATCGTTAAACACTGTTAAACATTTCATCCAACTTAACAACAAGTATGAAACATATAACATAAGGGGATTATATATTCATTTTCAAATTTCAAAGGGGGCAAATTGCTTGCTCATTTTCAAATTTCAAGGGAGTAAATTGCATATAAAATAAACATATTTCAAGGGGATAAATTGCACACAAAATAAGCACAAGGGGTTAGAGTACACTTTATCTTCCAAACAAATGTTGAAAATACAAGGCTATTTTAGTTTTTTTATTAAATCGTTAATGGTCCTAACGGTGCACTTTAGTCCACAAATCACAAGAGGATTATGTTGTCATTTCCAAATGTTAGGGGGCAAGCAGCATATAGTCCAAATATCACAAGGGGATAAAGTGAAGTTTGCCCTAGTTTCAATTTGAACAATTTGATCTCTACACTTTAAGTCTAGTTTTAATTTGGTTATTCCGTCTAAATTTTTGATAATTTTGTCCACATGTACAACTTAGAAATCTGATAAATGTTCCAAAATTATTACTTTTAACATTTCAATTTAAACGAAAGAACCAAATTGAAACCTTAAAAAATTGACCAGTGTTCTGAAATTGTTAATTTTAATCTTCTATTTAGACGAAATGACCAAATTAAAACTAAACTTAAAATCTAAGAACTAAATTATTTAAATTAAAGCTGTATGGATTAAAATAAAATTTAAATCAAATTACAAGAGTGAAAAATGTAATAAATCCTAAAATATATAATACACTGCTGAAGTTGTCTTTCAAATTACAACGAGTCATATCTAAAAAAAAAATTACAATGATAAGTCATAATTAACCCAACAATAGGTCATAATCAAATAACACAAATGTCATTATTGGAATTGCATATGATATACCATATAATTTTCCTACTAATAAACATTATCCATTTCGGTGGACCACCAAAAAAATATAAAAAAAGGGGGTTAATTGGTGATAAATCTAATATAAGGAGGGTATAAAGCATTAGATCTGAGAGAGATTTTTTGTTGATGAGAGGTCCACACTTTGTGTAATCGTTTGGTGGAGAACATTTTGTTTCAAATTTTATTCTTTGACTTTTTTTTTCTGTTTGACTTTTCGTTGACTATTTGTTGAAATTTTTTATCTATTAAAATTCTTATCTGTTCAAATTTTTTTATCTGTTCAAATTTTCTATCTGTTCAAACATCATATCATCACCAAAGAAATCTTTCATTTTCAAATTTAGATCTGGCTAATTGCTAGTCAAAGACCTCCATTGACCGAAAAAAAAAATCCTAAAATATCTCTAACAAGCTTCCCGTTTCGTCTCTATCAATATGTAAATCAGTTTTATCTAAAATAAAATTGATTGTTCGATTCTTCCTTGGCCACTAGAGAGAGAGAGAGAGAGTGAGAGGTAAATTTATCTACATCAAAACAGTGGTAGAAAGAATCATGAAACACTATTATCACCTCAGTTCAATTATAGAGTCAGAAAAAAATATATAAAAAATCAATGAATCTCAGGAGTTTTAAGGCTCCAAGCAACTACTATTAAGCACTAAAAATGAGTGATTTTATCATATAGGGGTGTATTGAGAGATTTATAAAATAATGCATAAATTACAAGTTTATCAATTTTATCTATTGCTTACTGATTATTCAAATACACAAACAATTATTCAACAAATCAGGTATATATAAACATATATAGCACTAAGGTATATTAGATCTATAGACATATTTTTCTATATTTGCTGGTGGTGGTGGCCGTGGTAATGGCAGTGTGGTGGTGGAGGTGAGACTAGTGGTGGTAGTGTAGTGATATTAATCAGACTATAGTTTGAAAAATATTTGCTATCTTTTAAAAGGGAAACATTTCATGCCTAAATAAGCTTGTTTTTTGTTGATCATGAAGAATATTTTTCGTTGACTTTTGTTTTTCATTATATCAATCGCTAGTAAATATGGACCAAGCAAAAGACTCGAACCCAAAATCTTCAATATGAGAAACATCCTTACTACTTGAGCAGCACATAACATTTATTTTTAAATCGAAATTAAAATTTATATTTTATAGATTTGACAGCACACTCATCGATAGATACACACCCACTAATATATATATATATATATACATATACATTCTAACCTTTGATACCGCATCTTCAACTTCCCAACACTACGTAATACATCAGCTTGACCACAATTTGCCATGCCTCCGAAAGTTGCACCGCCAATATCAGATTGAAATGCATCGCAGCTACAATGCACAAATCAAAGATAGCTACAGTTACTGAATTCCATGAACATGCTGGATTTGATATGCATGTCACCCAAATATATTTTGAAAACCATATATGCTGATTAGATAGCTTCAATAATTGTATGAAAACGATGGAAAAAAAAAGAAGAAAACAATGAAAACACTTCTGGTGTATTTTAATGGGGAAGGATTTTCTTCCATTCACTGTTTTACTAGAGGGGTGTTTGTGGGGTTTAGAGAGCCACCACATGTCTTATTTTGATATATAATTAAAAAAAATAGATTTATTCGATAATCATAATTATATGTTTTCATTACATTTTTTTAAAGAAAATGAATAATAGGTATAATTTTGAAATTATCCATTCATTTTTTTAAAGACCAATATATGAAAAAAATTATATGGATAAAAATATGGCATCAATCTAAACTTTATCGTGCATGATCTAGACAAAAAAATCAAACAAATTATACGATTTAAATTGTCGAAATGAGATTTATAATGTATCTGACGAACCAATTATCACACTTGTATTTCAACTGTAATTAGATAGAACTCCTTCCCATATTAATAATAGAAAGTAAAAACATGAAAGAGGGCTTGTTTTCTTCAAATTTTAAGAGAGGTCTATATAATTACTCTAAACTATATAACCAAACACATATTTGTTTTATTCATTATTTGAGAAGAGGGGTAGAGGGGAATATAGGTGTTTGGTTGTAGCATGTGAGCTATCTAATATTGTTTAATATAGTGTGAATAAGAAAATAGGGGTTTAGTTGTACGATTTAAATATTCTAAATTCTTAAATTACTATTTTTACACATTAGATTAAATTTTCACTATTATTGATTTGCAGAGATTTTCTTTAGTTAGACTATATGAACTGAAATAAGAAACAATAGGGACCAAATAGATGCATCTATTAATTTAGGAATGAAGTAAAAAATGTGACTATAGTTTAGGGTATAACAAAATATGACAATTTAAAAAAATTTCGTTAAATACAACAAAAAAAAAAAGAAAATATATTGAATTTTTATATATTTTTTTATTATTTGGTGAATTTTTAAAGTTTTTATTTTCTCAAATATTATTGTTTTTAAGTGTATATAGATTAGGTGTATATAAGAAATAAAAAAATTTCGTAAAATATTAAAAAAATCACTAAAACGGAAAACAAAAAAAAAACTCAAATTTCTAAAAAATAAATTAAACCAAACAAAGTAAATATATTTTTTTTCATCCATATAACTATCGAATACTGATGCAAATAAGGTAAGTATAACACCCACGGTAATTAGGAGAGGTCGGTGTAAATTTACCTAGCCAAGCACTCATTCTTTTATTCATTATTTGAAGTACAGAGAAATATGAGTGTTTGGTTGTAGAGGGTAAGTTGTCTAATATTGTGTTAGTAAGAATATAGATATTAGTTATACAATTTAAGTTGTCTAAATTATAAAATTATTTTTTTAACCATTATATTAGATTTTTCTCATTAATGATTTGGACAGATTGCCTCCAATAATCAGACCATATGAACTAAAATAATAAACAATAAAGACTAAATATATGCAATTAATAATTTAAGAATGAAGTAGAAAAAGTGACTATATTTTAGGCTATAAAAGAAAATTTCAAGAAAAAAGAAAAAAGAAAAAAGAAAAAAAAAGAAGACTACTAAAAAAGTGCCCAAGTCTTATACCTCTTTCAATTGCAGCCATTACAGTCAATAGCAAACATTTATTTTCACTACTCATTTATTACTTCCATGATTTTATTTTATTATTTTTTTAATTTTTCGCAAGATGATTTAAATCAAGTGCTTTGTATAAACATCAAAGGAAAAAAAATACCTTTATTTTGTATGATAGCAAACATAACCAAGCTATAGTTTTTCATGATCAAGCAAAAGAATGCAGAAATTGATTGTAAATACTTACCAAAGGACACCACTTGCATTGGCTAATTTCACCTTGCTCTGTTATTGTGAGAATACTTTTTAAATCTCTTTCCGCTTTTGTTTCATTCACCTTCAATGATCCTCACAAGCCATTGAGGCTTTCCTCTAGAGAACATAAAATATCCCATAACAAGTCCCCACACCAGCCCACATATATAACCCGGAAATATGACTTCCCAATTGAATCCACTTGAAGTGTTGTCTTCTTGCTGAAACATCAAGGGTGGTGGTTGTGGTGTCCTTGGATTGCATGCATTTAACAATGGAGGTCCACATAATGCCAAGTTGTCAATGTAGGAATCATTTGAAAATGTATCAAATTGGTTGCCTTGTGGTATCGGTCCTATTAGTTGATTCTGCGAAAGGTTTAAGACTTCAAGGGATTTCAAATTCCTTAGTTGTTGAGCGATCTCCCCAGTGAGTTTGTTGGAAGAGAGGTCTAACCATTCGAGCATTGTCAAATTAGCAAGAGATGCTGGTATATGACCTGTAAGGCTATTGTGAGACAAGTTGAGCCCTCGGATTGAATTTAGCTTTCCAATGATCTGTGGAATTTCACCTTCGAAATTGTTTTTCGATAAATCAATTGTAGTGAAAATGGTTAGGACTTTTACCATTTCTATGGTTGATCCTTTGATTGCTATAGTCAAACAATCATTATAGTAATATGCTAAAGTTAAACGACTAGGCATCCCTAAGTATTTCAATTCAAAACTAGCTTCGTCGACATTCATCATGGCATTGAGATTCTTGAAATATTTTCTTGGCAATGGACCAGTAAAATAATTGTTTGATAAATCCATAACTCGCAAGTTGGGGAAGGGAAATTTGAACTTGGAATTCTGTATAGGTCCATGGAATTTGTTAAATCTCAAAATTAGAACTTGTAGCGAAGTTAAATTTTCCAACCAATATGGAAATTTATCAGAGAACTTGTTATGTCCAAGGTCTAGCACTTGTAGCATTTTGCAATTATCTAAAGATTTTGGTACCGCCCCCTCAAATCCATTGCTATCAAGGTTGATAGTTTCGAAGGAATTTTCCTTCGCAAATGTATCAGGAATGGTGCCAGAAAAATTATTCTTCTGCAGATCGAGTACAGAGAAACCTATGTTGAAATTTCCTGAACATTGTGGAATAGAGCCATTAAAGCTATTACTAGATAAGACAAGAATTTGAAGGGAAATTGCATGACAGAGCATGTCTAGCTCACCACTGAAGTTATTTGATGAAAGAATGAGACTAGAAAGGTTCACGAGTTTGAAGGTTGAACTTGGAAGCCTACCATGTAGGTTGTTATTGCTCAAATCAACAATAGTTAAATGAGTGGATTTGAACTCTTTTACATGGCCAGTCAATTTGTTATTACTGAGGTTGAAGTACTCCAATGCTGGTAAGCTGAAGACCCAAGACGGAATCGTACCGTTGATTAAGTTATCATCTAAACGTAACAGCGTTAGATTTGGAAGTCCAATTATTTGTGATGGAAGAGGTCCTCTTAGCTGATTATTCGACAAATCTAAGTCAACAAGTTTTGTTAGGTTTGCAACCAATGATGGAAATGGACCGCTGAAGCTATTTGACTCAACATTTAAATAAAGAAGACTTTTTGCATTAGGTAAAAAATCTGCGATTTTACCTTCAAAATTATTACCCCAAACTCCCAAGTGGACAAGATTTCCAAGATTTGAAAGTGAAGATGGGAGCATGCCAGTGAAATTGTTATTTCCGATGTATAAAAGAGTCATTTCCGTAAGGTTTCCGAGCGATGTAGGGATGGATCCATAAAATTTACAATCATAGGCAAACAACATTTTCAAGGACTTCAAATTCCCAATTGAGTCGGGTAGTTCTCCAGAGAAATTAGTGTATGTAAGGTCCAAGTACTGGAGAGGACTACTCGAGTTTATAAACTCGGGAAAATAACCAGTGAGAGCATGATTATAAAATATACGCAGCTCATTCAGACGTGGTAAATGGAATATTCCGTCAGGAAATTTTCCAAGCAATCCACACCCACTGAGATCGAGATGTGTTAAAGAAGTCAGATTGAGCAAGGAATTCGAGACCACTGAAGATATGTTTACACTATCAAGATTAAGTTCTCTTACCTTGGTTAAGTTTTGAACAAGTAATTCAAATCCCGGTTCTTCCATACTCAAACCATAATTGGAAGAGAGATCAAGCGAGACCAATCTGCTCAGAAAGGAGACTTCTATAGGGACTTTGCCAGAAAAACTAGACCATGAGAGGTTGAGGTGTGTCAGTCTGGTGAACCGACTAAATTCAGATGAGATTGGAGACATACGAAAGTCATTGAAAGCAAGGTTGAGGCTTTGGAGGTGAGGAAAGTAGTAGAAGATGGTGCTATTGGGTTGGATGGTGCCGTTGAGCCAGCTGCAACTGAGGTCGAGGCCAATTACTTGATTTGTCTTGTCATCACACTCGACCCCATCCCATGAGCAACAATCAGAACCCTCCTTCCACGACTCCATCTTCGGGTAAGAAAGCATTCCGTAATAAGCACAGCCACTGTCGGAAGCAGATTTATCGAAGGAAAATTGTCGATTAAATTGGAGCAATGCAGAGGTCTGTTCTTGAGTGCAGAGTTGGGCATGCAAACATGTAATCTGGAAAAAACAAAGAAACAAAAAGAGGTGAAAGAGTTGATTGTTAGAGACCATCTTTGCTCCTAGATTCAAAAACAAAGGTTGTAATGCTTGCTGACTATTAACAGGGGAGAGGCCAAATGCTTTATAGGCAAATGTAGGTGCACTGCAAAGCCTACAAACAAGTAAAGTGACTTTGATTAGTCAGTCTTTCACTGATGTCTACAGAGTTGGACCCCCATAACGTGTTTTTCACTCATCAAGGAAGACTTGACTTCATAAATCATAATCAACCGTTTAAAATGCTATACGAAATAAAGTTTGGCACATCTACCGTGTTTTTCCATACTTAAAACGACAATACATCACAACATAAACCATTTTGACAAAAATAAATATTAAAATTTATTTTTAAATTTTTAAAAATTATTTTTACTCACCAAAGATAAAATTATATAAAAATAATAAATCTTTTACATTTTTATTTTTTTACCAAATTAATTTTTAATATGTGTTTGGATGATGATCATGTAATACGTGATTATTTTTGTTGATATTTTTGGATGGTTACATGTAATAGATAGTTGCATTTGTTGTTAACAGATATTTTTGGATAGTTATCATGTAATGAAAGGTTATTAAATTTTTAAAGTATAATCGATAGGTTTAATATATGAAATATTTTTAATTTTTAATTTTTTTATTCAATGGATTGGTTTAATAATGACATTAAACTTGTCGCTATATTTGATTTTTGAAAAAATAAAACAAATTTAATGAAAATAAATATAAAAAAATAAAAAATTATTTCTACTCTCTCAAAAGATAAAATTATATAAAAATATGTGTTTTTAAATTTTTTCAACAATTTAATTTTTAGTTTCTTAGAAAAATTTTCTGAAAATAGATTTTGAAAACCAAACTAAACAGAACTTTATAACTAAAAAAGTTGCAACATTATTCATTAAAAGAATGCCATTCAATGTGTTTGGTTACAATTTTCTAAATTCAGTTTTTTGAAAATTGAGTTTTTTGTTTATCGTGTTTTTTTTTACTGAATATTTTTAAAATTTTAAGCATTTTTTTTACTCTTAGATATTAGAATTCCAATTTTGCTAGTATAATTAGTTAGATCAAATGATTCGAATCATACTACGATTTTAAATATTATAGAATCTTAAAATTATTATGATTATAGTTATAAAATCATATAGAATTACACTAGGATCCTGAATCTATTATGATCTCGATCCTATCAATTTTTTTTCTTGTTAGTTATTTCTTATATATTTATATATGTGTGTATATCTGTACAAGCAAGAAATAATCTGTCTCATATAATCCTGTTGATCAAGTTTGTACTTCTCCAAATGTCGTCGTCTTATCACCTGAAAACACAAACGTGAGCTAGCCGGCTGGTGTATGCCGGAAACCCCTTTGATGCCTAAGTCAACAAGTAGACAATAGACAAAAAGGTCTGTGTATTCGAGAGTCAGAATTGCAATACCTAAGATTAAGGTTTGGTTAGAGCTTTTGTAGATTCCGCATGGCACAATCCTAATAAGACACTAACTCTCCAATTTAGAGTCCTCCTAGGAATCACATTCCCAAAAGATAATGCTTATCCTTTAACACCCTCCTCACTGCATGCCAAGTGAGATGGCACAAGTCTTTGCTCGGCTTTCTGCCGTGCAACCAGACTACATTTGCTCTATCCGACAATGGCTTAGCTATGCAACACGCAGCGTGAAAGCTGACATTACATGGCTCTCCTCCCAGCTCAGTTCTCCTCTCTGTTTGACTACCTTGCTTGGTAGCTCGGCCATAGCGTTGACCACCACTAGAAAGTAGCTAGGTCCAGAAATATGGGCATTTACTAGTTCAGTCAAACATCTTTGACCGCCACTAGGAAATAGCTAGGTCCAGTAGCTAGGTCTTGTAGCTAGGTCTCGTAGTTAGGTCCCGTAGCTAGGCCTCGTAGCTAGGTCTTGTAGCTAGGCCCCGTAGCTAGGTCTTGTAGCTCGGTCCCTTAGCTAGGTCCCATAGCTGGGTCTCGTAGCTAGGTCTCATAGCTAGGCCCTGCAGCTAGGCCCTGCAGCTAGGCCCCGCAGCTAGGTCTTGTAGCTAGGTCCAGAAATATGGATATTTATTAGTTCGGTCAAACATCTTTGACCGCCACTCCAACCTAGCTCGGCCCAATTTGGCTACACAAATTACCCTCTCAATATCTATTCAAAAAATTTGACTATAAATTATTTTTTAAACATCTCATCTAATTTATATTATCATAAAAGATACATTATATCAAATTTATCATGAGTGATCATGCCATAGGTCCATTTTATAGACTTTTAAGGGGATAGATTCAAGTGACTTTTGTTCGGATCATAAGGACAAACACATATTTTTCTTGGGCTAGGCATTATCTGTACAAATTATGTATATACATATTATTGTTATCCTCACCATTGGGTAGTGGCAATGTTATCCTCACCATCACCGTTCACATTTTAGGATTCGTTGAACACATCATCTGTATAAAAAATTAAGTCGATTAGATAATGGCAATCATCCAGTCGACTAGATTTTTTGCAGGGATGATATACTCAATGAATCTTAAAATGTGAACGGTTCGAATTATTGAAATGCGACCTAAAAGTGGACCCACTGGATCGGACTGAACGGTTCAACCCTATTAGGAATTGGAGACAATCGAATCCCAAAAGTATAATCAATCCTTCAATGTATCACACCACTCATTTTAGTTTTCTTAAAGCCTGAATTGTCACGCCCTGGATTTACGAGGTGTGGCCCACGTGAGTAAACCACTCGATGATAGACGATTACATTCTTAGATACAACATTTAAGTCAAATGGATTCTCTGTAACAAAAACATACAAAGATATTATAAATCGAATTAAGATACCCAAAGGCTTATATCATATACAAAGGGTGTAACCCTTACAAGAATTGCACGAGACCAACAAATACATAAATGGCCCTTGGCCAACAAATAAAGGAACCACACCCTATACGGTTCCAAACACAACTTCAACGTCTCAGTCCACATCTGCATAAGCATACTTGAAAAATATTTTCAGCCACGTAAGGTGAGCATAAAGCTTAGTAGGAAATATTTTCAAAAACTAAATATGCTCCACTAGTATAAATGATCATGAATGCAATATATACATATATACTAAGCTCAATGCATTCTTAACTCCACTTTCCTTCTCAATAAAAACCCTTTCTTTATGTGATGTACAAAAGAATGGGAACACCAAAGAGATCTCTAACCTTTGTTTATTTTTTTTTAAAGTTAAATTTAATAATATTATTACATTAATCATATTTTTTAACCACATTTTATTTGCCATAATAAGAACTCACAAATATTCAATCTAAGAGTTTCTCTCGTAGAGTGGTGTCTTTTATAAGACTCAAGTTTCTTATACTAATTGGATATTAATGAGATTCATACAAAATCCATTAAAGACTTTGTTTCACTTTAATAGATAATTGAGTTGATAGGTACCCCCAAAAAAAAATTATGATTTCTTTTTTATTTATATGTTAAAGTTGAATGGATGTAACATTTCTTCTGTTCATGTTAAAACTTTTTTTTTTGGTATTAGTTTAGTATTAAATATTGGTTTATTTCTCATTTTTTAAATTAAAATATGACAATTTATACAATTGATAAATAAAAAAATAATACATATCTTGGCCCCCGAAATTGAAATCTCGTAGTTTCGTCCCTGATCAAATCCTTCTCTTCCCAGGACGATGGCAATGAAGATCGTTGAGGAAGAATTAGATTCCCATATAAAAACATATTTTAGCCACCTGAGAGGAACCTATCGCTACAGCTTCATTTGATCAGGTAGCTTTTATTTGTGAATTGGTAAACTTATATTTTTTTTGGAAATAATTGATGGGGTGCTAATAGCAGCACTCCCAAAGAATTGGTTGTAACTAGGGTTTTGTCACTTTTTATCATTTAAAATGGTGTTAAAAAATAAGGTATCAAACAATTATTTTGGGATGCATTTAGATGCTCCCTCAGTTCGCTTGTCATTCAGGTCACTTGTCGTTCAGGGTTTAAGAAAACTAAAATAAGTGGTGTGATACATTGAAGGATTGATTATACTTTTGGGATTCAATTGTCTCTGGTCCGTAATAGGATTGGACCGTTCAATCCGATCCAATGGATCCACTTTTAGGTCGCATTTCAATAATCCGAACCGTTCACATTTTAGGGTTCATCGAGTATATTATCCCTGCAAAAAATCAATTCGATCGGATAGCGGAAATCACGTGTTCAGATCAATTTTGAACGAACCGTTTATTTCTTCACCGTTCATTTTTCCATACAAAACTGATCTCAACACATGATTGTCATTTTCCAATCAAATTGATTTTTTATAGAAATGATCTGTTCGACGAATCCTAAAATGTGGACGGTTTGGATTATTGAAACGGGGCCCAAAAGTGAGTCCACAAAACCCAACAATACCTCTCCAATCCAATAGAGGACTAGAGAGAAACCATAGGCTATAGTTTTTATCCCCAATTTTTTACATAAATTTTACTTTAGTCTTTCAGTATAATTATTTCCTCGAACTTTAAATTCTGTCACCTATTGTTAAAAATTGAACATAAAGTGATCATGCAAGAGCCGCATGAGCGCATCTTAGGAACATTAAAATGGAAAAAAAAAAAAAAGTATGAAAAATTCCATCATTCATCTTTTAACTTTTATTAAAATTTTATTTGAGTCCTCTTGTTTTAATTTTCACTCAAATTTTAAACGATGCAATAAAAGAAGGCCCATATTAAAATACATGTTGAAATTTGAAAACTTAATTGTTGCAATTAGAAGAGGAAGAATAAAAAGTAAAAATTTGAATGAAAATTCAAGGATAAAAAGTGTAATTTAACATACATCAAAACTTATTTGAAAGAATTTATGAATTTATGCCTTTTACATTAGGAGCTTTTCACTAAGGATTGGTTTGAGAATTGACTATTTTAATTAACTTTTTAACTTTTTAAGACGTGCAAAAAAGTAAGAAGATTGATGTGACAATTTGTAGTGATTTTTTAATATTTTGGCTATTTTCGTCACTTGCCAAATGATAATTTTATCCAAATAAATATATAAACACACTTATTTTTA